GACATGGCGATATGCCACTCAAATCCCCCTCAATGAAGGATTATTGCCCCAACTGCTGGGAGTGGTATTGGCAGAGATAGTCTTCAATCACCAGCCCCCTCAGAGATTTTCTCATTTAAAGAGATTAACCTCTCTCAAAGTCACATCTTGACTGGGCATGGAGGCTCACCCCTGTAATCCCAACACTTTGGGAGGTAAAGGGGTAGATCACCTGAGGTCAGGAGTTCAATTCCACCCTGGCCAACAAGGTGAAACCCATCTCTGCAAAAAATACAAAATTAGCCAGGTGTGGTAGCACATGCCTTGAATTCCAACTACTCAGGAGGCTGAGACAGGAGACTCACTTGAGCCTAGGAGGTGGAGACTCACTTGAGCCTGGGAGGTGGAGGCTGCAATGAGCTGAGATTGTACCACTGCACGCCAACCTGGCAACACAGAAGGAGACTCTGTCTCAAAAAAAAAAAAAAAATTCTAGCTAAATAACGTCCCTTGAACCTTTCAGTCAAAACTTAGTTTTGGTTAAAAACATCAACCAGTATCAAAATAACCTACCAGCAAACTAAGTTTCTCTCTATAATTAGGAGAATTGAAAGTTATTTTAAAGAGGAATATTTTTCTCTCTCTGATTGAGTGTAACTTCATGACTCGTTTTTGTAATACCTAAGATCATTTCACATACCACACTTGCAAAAACACCATGCTAGATAGTGTACATTCTCCCAAAAGATGTTTGGGTTGACGTGCCATCACTTAGTCCAGCCCCCTTTCTTCCCGTGTTCCTGCTTGTAGGTGGAGAGGGGCAAGAGTCTCTCTCACTGCTGGAAGAGGTGTATAATGAGTGACACAAACTAGCCCACTCTAAGCACTGATTGATAAGCAGTGTCATAGGCAATTCATTTCTTTTCTCTTTTTTTGTGAGACAGAGTCTCAGTCTGTGGCCCGGGCTGGAGTACAGTGCCAAGATCTTGGCTCACTACAACCTCCACCTACCAGGTTCAAGCAACTCTCCTACCTCAGCTACCTGAGTAGCTGTGATTACAGGCGCCTGCCACCATGCCTGGCTAATTTTTGTATTTGTAGTAGAGACAGGGTTTCACTATGTTAGTCTGGCTGGTCTCCAACTCTTGACCTCAAGTGATCCGCCTGCCTCAGCCTCCCAAAGTGCTGGGATTACAGGTGTGAGCCACTGCAAGAGCCAGACAATTCATTTCTTTTTTTTTTTTTTGAGACGGAGTTTCGCTCTTGTTACCCAGGCTGGAGTGCAATGGCGCGATCCCGGCTCACTGCAACCTCCGCCTCCTGGGTTCAGGCAATTCTCCTGCCTCAGCCTCCCGAGTAGCTGGGATTACAGGCACGTGCCACCATGCCCAGCTAATTTTTTGTATTTTTAGTACAGACGGGGTTTCACCATGTTGACCAGGATGGTCTCGATCTCTTGACCTCGTGATCCACCCGCCTCGGCCTCCCAAAGTGCTGGGATTACAGGCGTGAGACACCGCGCCCGGTGGACAATTCATTTCTTATGGAAAAACTCTAGATTTTGTTTAAAAAGACAATGTGTGTTAAGTTAAAGTAACATTGTAAAGTTGAACTTGCAACAACCGTTTCATCAATTTCATTGGCTGCTGACCCTTGCAGCCATGTCCTCCATCTGATAATGGGGTCACGTTTTTCACACACCAGTTTTATTCTAGTTACCTGTTAACAGTTGAGTAACAGCAAACATTCTGTTCACTCTGTCTTCCTTATATCTCTCTAATTAATTGCTTTTAGAAATGTGAATGGAAATATTTTCTAGTTTCTACCTTTAAATTTATTGTGTAAATACTGCTTAGCAACCTTTTTTTCACTGTAAAACTCAAATATTTAATGTAACACCATAAAGTGTGAAAAGACGAAGTCGTTAGAAGAGGAATCCTTGTGGCAGATAATTGTGACAAAATTTCCCCGTTTCTACTTCATGTTGGTTTGGTATCAGGTGCAGACTGGAAATCCAATGAAGACGGAGCTGTCTCCTCTCTAAGCATCTTAACACCTGGGCCAGAGAAGCAACCATCAGTCTTCTGGACTGAGGACTGTTCTTCCTCCTCTGGCTTTGTCCATGTCATTCTCCGCAGATAGGAGGCTTCCCAAAGAAAACTAACTTTCAACACGTATCAGTGAATCTGGCAACTGTCTCACCTGTCCAGTTCCTGTCAAGGGACAAAGCAGAGGAGCCCACCTACCCCATTCCCACCCCAGCATAGATTTACTGTTCCATTGGAGCTGGGTTCTCGACTGCTAAGTTGTCCTGCCATTGCTCATGACCCTTAGCTACAGTTGTTTGTGCTGGCCTCACTGCACTTGTGGACCCTTCTTCTTGTGGGCACTTGCTCTGGTGCCTCCTCAAATAAGTCTCCTCCCTCTCTATTAGTTATTTGATTGAGAGAAAAAAGAAGAGCTCCATCTGATTAGAGAAAATAATTACTTGTAATTATAAAACACGTGATAAAATATTATTGAAAGAAGTGATTGCCATTGTTTTAGCTAGAGCATGACTCTATCCACCCCCAACCAAAAAAGAAAAGAAAAGGAAAGAAAGGTCTGATCCTCTTCTTATTCATCTCAACAAACGGTATGACTCTCCATCAAGTTGCACCAGTCAGAAATTTCAGAGTAATTTGCATTCAATCAATTATCTTGTCTCTTGGAGGTGATTATCAATTATTTTGTCTCTTGGATTTTGTCACTGCCAAATTATCACTTAAAGAGACTTTTTGATGTCTCTGCTACTACTGTACTTGTCTTTTCCATTTTAGCCTAAATTACTCAGAAGACCTTTGTCCATCTTCTCTGGTCTATCTCTGATCCACTGTCCACACAACAACTAGTGATCTTTGTAAATCTGATCAAATCATTCTTCTGTTTGCAACCCTTTGATTGTCTCCTATTGTTCTTAGAATAAAGATCAAAATGAGACTTACAAACATGGTCAGGCTCATTCCTGATATCTACCAGGCTGAAACAAGAACACAAATAGAGGCCAACATACTATATTTTTAAATATTTAAAAGTTTTAAAGCAAGCTGATGAAGAAATTTTAAGATATGTAATATCCTTCTATTTTGACAAATATATTTTCATAACTCCCTATAAGGCCAGAATTGCATTTGGAAATCTCAGACACAAAGTTTCTGGCTTGGGAGAGATGAGCCCCAAGCTCTGGCTCTTACGTGTCTCATCATACCAAGTTCCATTTAGCACCACAGGGACCTCACTTACACATGTGTGCTCACCCAACTCTGCATGTTCCACATCCCTGATAAACAGCTGCTTTTTAGACAACTTTTGGGCCCAGGAGTATGCATGACAGTAACCAGGTTCACACTCAAAAAAACAGACCAGGAAAGAGGGTTGCACAGGCCCTGGAAGCAGGCTCAGAGACATTTGGGCTGGGAATTTCCGGGAACCCAGAATGTGTTCTAGAAAGAAGGGTGATGCAGGTTTCAGCTGGGCATGTCCCCTTGACACTGTGAATTCCTCACCCAATGACAAGGGAGTGGCTGGAGAAAGGCCAGAGTGGACACAGTGCTTTGTACATTCTCCCATGGCTTTCTGCCTTCTCTCCATACTGGCCTTCCTTTAATTCCTTTAATGCTCCAGGTTCCTTACTGATAAGAGCCTTTGTACAAGTGGTCCCCCACTTCAGCAACCTGTCTTCCTTCGATGTCAGCTAAAGCCTTTTGTCTTTGAAGTTGCCTTTCTGATTGATAATCCTCACATTAGTCAGGTGCCCAAATTATGTAGCTTCATAGAATCCTGTACTTTTCATAGCACTTATAACAATTAATATAACAGAATACTTACTGTTTACCTAGTATTTATATAATTAGTCATTTATCTATAAGAAGTTATTATATAATTAACTGTTTAGTGTGTTTATCCTCTGTTAGAATATAAATCTCTAAGGGGGCAAGGACTGTGTCTTGTGCATCTTTTTCTTCCTAACACCTAACATGGTGCTTTACATATAATAAACACTTAAATATATTTGTTAAATAAATGACTTATGGGAACTCCTCCATTCTCAGGTTCTCCCTGACTTCTACGAGAAGGGAAATTCCTTTTAGTACTCACAAGGTATCTTGGTCCCAGTCTCTGGAAGGCACGTACGGGTTCTTGGAGACTGACGCTAGTGGGAGTCCTCATGGACTTTGGTCTGATGGTCCATTTCCAGTTCTAGATTATGGCATATATACTTAGTGACCATTCATTTAAAAGGATCATTGATTGTTTTAGCCCTAAGTTAGAATCTTCTCAGAAGTGAAAATTAGATGCAATTATTATTATTATTATTTTCCTTTGAGACAGAGTCTGGCTCTGTAGCTAGGTTGGAGTGCAGTGGCATGATCTCGGCTCACTGCAACCTCGACCTCTCGGGTTCAAGTGATTCTCCAGCTTCAGCCTCCCGAGTAGCTGCGATTACAGGCACGGGCCACCACACCTGGCTAATTTTTGTGTTTTTAGTAGAGACAGGATTTCACCATGTTAGGCTGGTCTCAAACTCTTGGCCTCAAGTGATCTGCCCACCTTGGCCTCCCAAAGTGCTGGGATTACAGGGGTGAGCCACCGCAGCCAGCCACAATTACTATTATTTAGATAAGATCTCACTTTGTTGTCCAGGCTATAGTACAGTGGCTCAATCACAGCTCACTGCAGCCTCAACTTCCTGGGCTCAGGTGATTCTCTCACCTCAACCTCCCAGGTAGCTGGGACTACAGCTGCATACCACCACACCCAGCTAATTTTTTTTCTTCTTTTTTGGTGGAGATGGAGTCTTGCCATGGTGCCCTGCTGATCTCAAACTCCTAAACTCAAGTGATCTGCTCACCTCAGACTCCCAAAGCACTGAGATTACAGGCATGAACCACTGTGCCCAGCCTAGAGGCAATTATTTTTATAGCTCTCTCATTATTTAAATATCAATATGGGGAGGACCTTCGGGGCTCCTGGTTGTGCAGGTACAGCAGCTACACAGAAGAGATTGGGGGAGAGGCTAATGATGACAAGAAGCCAACCACTAGATTCTAACTAGAGGGAGAAACAGAACTTTGCTTTGTGGTGGAGGCATCCTAGTCAGTTCAGGTGGAGTTGTTGACTGGCATGGCAGGGATCTCTGGTACAGAGCTGACCTGAAACAAGAAATTCACTTTTGATGCTGGTGCGAAGATGGCTGTTTTCACTTGGCATGGCTGTTCTGTGCAACTGAGCGACCGCACTGAGGTGGCTTATCTCTCCAAGGACACTCTTTTGTTGCTTTACCTCAACAGTCACACAGCTTTGGAACAGATGCAGAGGCAAGTGGAAAAGGAAGAAGAGGGAGGCACTTGAGTGATGGTAGTGGGCCCCACTGATGTGGGCAAATCTACAGTATGTCACCTTCTGCTCAACTATGCAGTGTGTTTGGGCCACTGTCCCACTTATGTGGAGCTGGATGTGGGCCAGGGTTCTGTGTCCATCTCTGGTACCATGGGGGCCCTCTACACTGATCAGCCTAAAGATGTAGAACGTTTCTCTATCCAGGCCCCTCTGGTGTATCATTTTGGTTCCACCACTCCTGTCACCAACATCAAGCTTTATAATCAGATTACATCTTGTTTAGCAGATGTGTTCAAACAAAGATGTGGGGTGAATCAAAGGGTATCTGTGAGTGGCTGTGTCATTAAGACCTGTGGCGGGGTCAAGGGCTCTGGTTACCAGGCTCTGGTGCATGCAGCCTCAGCATTTGAGGTGAATGTTGTTGTGGTTCTGGATCAAGAATGACTGTACAATGAACTGAAACGGGACTTCCCCCACTTTGTACGCACTGTGCTGTGTAAATCTGGGGGTGTGGTGGAGTGCTCCAAGGACTTCTGGCGGGAGTGTAGGGATGAGCTTCTTATCTGTGAGTAGTTTTATGGATTCCAAGGCTGTTTCTATCATGCCTTCAATGTCACATTTTCAGATGTGAGAATCCACAAAGTTAGGGCACTGACCATCCCAAATTCCTATTTACCTTTGGGCATGTCTTAGGAGGACAATCATCTCAAGCTAGTACCTATCACTCCTGGCAGAGATATGGTGCACCATCTACTGAGTGTCAGCACTGCCGAGGGGAAGAGGAGGACCTGTTCAAGACAAGTGTAGCTGGCTTCATTGTGGTGACCAGTGTGGACCCGGAGCATCAGGTGTTTACTATTCTGTCCCCAGCCCCTGGCCCACTGCCTAAGAACTTCCTTCTCATCCTGGATATCCAGTTCATGGATCTGAAGTAGAGATCAGCAGGATGCCTTGCTGCCCTGGACATAGAGATTTTCTGGCTCTCCTAGAGGCAGCCAGGCTGAGATAAGAGACTGTTGGGGCCACCTGACCAGTAAACTGTGGACTAGTAGAAAGAATATATTCTGCCTCTAAAAACAGGTTGTGGCAACCTGACTCTTCTAATCTTGAACCAAAAGGAAAACCATGAGACTGGTTTCTTAGAGCACCTAAGATGCTACTTTGAATTCTTCAAGACCCTGAAGAATTGCATTTCTTTCACTATGTTACTATGTGGTTTTTAAACATCACTGCTTTATATTCCATATGTGCTACTTACTCATTCATCTAGGATGAAAGTGTGAATTAAAGGGACTCTTTTCAATAAAGTTCAAACTTTAAAAAATTAATTTTAATAAATATTTTTGCCATAAAAAATAAATATCAATATTAGTATTTTATGTTATCTATTTATGGTACATTGTAATAAATTAAATGCAATTATTTTATAGCCTCAGTAGTAAAATATAAAATGATATTTGCAATTATATTCAGTTTCTAGAAATAAATATGTGAAAATATATAACATACTATTGTTAGTTTTAAAAAGATATTTTTCCTCTGATTATTATTTTCATTATTTATTTATTTATTTTTGAGAGGGAGTCTGGCTCTGTGGCCTAAGCTGGAGTGCAATGGCATGATCTCAGCTCACTGCAACCTCCACCTCCCGGGTTCAAGTGATTCTCTTGCCTCAGCCTCCCGAGTAGCTGGGATTAGAGGTGCCCGCCACCACGCCCAGCTAATTTTTTGTATTTTTAGTAGAGACAGGGTTTCCCCATGTTGGACAGGCTGGTTTTGAGAGGGGAGACCCCCTCCCCTCCTCCCACTTCCCAGCCTCCACCTCCTCCTCCTCTCCAGTTGGGAAGGAGGGTGAAAAAAAGAAACAAAATACCAAAGAGCTGGGAAAATGACTCCCTTTTCAGTTCCCAGCATCTCTGCTATCTGTAAGCCTTGAAAGAGTTGCAAATGAATGTTATTCCTAACCTGCTGGAGCCCAGCACTGGGTCACACCCCCATGTGTGCACGGCCCAGGCTCCCTCCTGGAAACACTTCTGCCAACTAATAATTTACTGCCTTTGTCTTGTGTCTGTAAGCCCCCTCCTCCGCCTGTTCCCACTCTCACTGCAAATGAACTAGCAAATCAATGAAGCCAAAAGATTGCAAGGTCAGACGTCCAGTCAATGGACAATGACATAGTTTCACCTCAGTTTCCCCTTTAGCGTTGTTAAGCCTATAAAAAGGGAAAGAAGCTGCTTCTCGGGGAGCTCAGTCAATGAGGCTGTAGTCCCCTGTGCAGCTCCTAGACAAATAAAAAGCCACTTCCTTCCTCAGTTCGGTGTTTGAGAGGTTTGTTTCTTACTGTTCCTGCTTCAGTCTCAAAGTCCTGACCTCGGGTGATCCACCCACCTTTGCCTTCCAAAGTGTTGGGATTACAGGCATGAGCCACCATGCCTGGCCTATTATTATTAAGAGACAAGGTTTTGCTCTGTCACACAGATTAGAGTGCAGAGGTGTGACCACAGCTCGTTGCACCCTCTTACTCCTGAGGGACATGCTTCAGGAAGGTTTAGCCATCTGGCTAATTAAAAAAAAAAATTGGTCAGACATGGTAGCTCACGCCTGTAATCCCAGCACTTTGAGAGTTTGAGGCGGGTGGGTCATGAGTTCAGGAGATCAAGATCATCCTGGCTAACACGGTGAAACCCCATCTCTACTAAAAATGTAAAAAATGAGCTAGGTGTGGTGGCACACATCTGTAGTCTCAGCTGCTCAGGAGGCTGAGGCAGGAGAATCACTTGAACCTGGGAGGTGGAAGTTGCAGTGAGCTGAGATCTCGATATTGCACTCCAGCCTGAGCAACAGAGTGAGACTCTGTCTCAAAAGAAAAAAAAAAATTGTAGAGTAGAGCCTTGTCATGTTGCCTAGTCTGGTCTTGAACTTCTAGGCTCAAGCCATCCTGCTGTCTCAGCATCCCACAGGGCTAGGATTACAGGCATGAAGTCATAGTACCCAGCTCTTTTTTCCTGATTATCACAATATACGTTTATGATAGAAAAGTTGGAAATGCACAAAAAGTTAAAGAAGAGAATAAAAATCATCTATAATTCTAATACCTTGAGAAATCTACTGCTAATATTTTTGAATAGTTTCTTCTGGTGTTTTTTTTATCCATAATGTATAATTTAATTTTTTTTAAAGACAGAGTCTCACTGTGTTGCCTAGGCTGGAGTGCAGTGGTATGATCTCAGTTCACTGCGACCTCCTTCTCCTGGTTCAAGCAATTCTCATTCCTTAGCCTTCTGAGTAGTTGGGATTATGGGTACACACCATGCCCAGCTACTTTTTTTTTTTTTTTTTTTTTTTTTTTTTAGCAGAGATGGGGTTTCACCACGATGAATAGACTGGTCTTGAACTCCTGACCTCAAGTGATCCACTCCTCAGGCTCCCAAAATGCTAAGATTACAGGTGTGAGCCACCGTGCTCAGCTCACATAATTTGATTTTTAGGAAAAATAAAATAATATACATTTATAGTTTTGTATCTTGCTTTGGTTTTTTGTAGCTTGAGGGTATAAATTGGTACTATCTCTTTGAAGGGCAATTGAAAATATTCATACAAATTTTAAATTGACACAAATTAAAAAACCCTTTGACCCAGAGATTCCATTTTTCTTCCATGTGTACACCCATGTGCATGAAAAGGTGGATGTATAAGAATGTTTTAATAGCAAAAGACTAAAAGCAAAGTAAATGTTTATTTGGTACATTCATACAATGAAATACTATTCAGCCATTAAAGCAATGGAGATACCATATAGATAAATAATTTCCAAGCTCAATCATTAGAAAAAAAGAAAGGTGTAATACAATGTCAATAGTAGGTTCTCATCTGTGTCTAAAAAAGAGGGGAGAGGGTTGTAAAAGAGAAATTATATACTTTTGTCCTAATATGGACACAAAATATTTCTGAAATTAGACATAAGAAATCTGTAGAACTGGTGCCTCTGGAGAAGTATATAGGGGTCTGGAATGTGAGGAAGGCTTAGCTTCCCCTTCATATATCCTTTGGAAATGTAGTTTTTCTTTTTTAACCATGGGCATGTATATTACTTTTCTTTTCTTTTTTTTTTTTGAGACGGAGTTTCACTCTTGTTTACCCAGGCTGGAGTGCAATGGGCTATCTCGGCTCACCGCAACCTCTGCCTCCTGGGTGCAGGCAATTCTCCTGCCTCAGCCTCCTGAGTAGCTGAGGTTACAGGCACGCGCCACTGTGCCCAGCTAATTTTTTGTATTTTTAGTAGAGACGGGGTTTCATCATGTTGACCAGGATGGTCTTGATCTCTTGACCTCGTGATCCACCCACCTCAGCCTCCCAAAGTGCTGGGATTACAGGCCTGAGCCACCGCTCCTGGCCCTATTACTTTTTTTAATTAGAAAAGATTAATATTTTTAATGACTTGCAATTCTAATATTCAGAAATATACTGTTAACACTTTCATATATGCTCTACCAGTCTTTTCCTTTGGCATTTTTTCATGCCAATAAACATTCTTTTAAAACTACACACACACACACACACACACACACACACACACACACACACGGTTTTGGGGTTTTTTTTGAGACAAAGTTTCACTCTGTCGCCCAGGCTGGAGTGCAGTGGCATGATCTCAGCTCACTGCAAACTCCACCTCCAGGGTTCAAAGAATTCTCCTGTTTCAGCCTCCTGAGTAGCTGGGACTACAGGCATATGCCACCATGCCTGGTTAATTTTTGTATTTTTAGTAGATATGGGGTTTCATCATATTGGTCAAGCCAGTCTCTAACTCCTGACCTAAGTTGATCCGCCGGCCTCTGCCTCCCATAGTGCTCAGATTACAGGTGTGAGCCACCACACCCAGCCTAAAATCATATTTTGAATAGCAATAAATATTTACACACACATATGTGCATGTGTGGGCATCATTTATGTTGTTTCTGTTCTTTTTTTTTCTTTTTGGCTACTAGAAATAATAAAGTTGTAAGCTGGGCACAGTGGCTCACACCTGTAATCCCAGCACTTTGGGAGGCTGAGATGGGCGGATACCTGACATCAGGAGTTTGAGACCAGACTGGCCAACATAGTGAAACCCTGTCTCCACTAAAAATACAAAAAATTAACTGGGCATGGTGGTGCATACCTGTAATCCTAGCTACTCAGTAGACTGAGGCAGGAGAATCACTTCAACCTGGGAGATGAAGGATGCAGTGAGCTGAGATTGTGCCACTGCACTTCAGCCTGGACGACAGAGTGAGACTCTATCTAAAAAGAAAAGAAATAAAATTGTAATATATATTTTTGTATGATTTCAATTCTATTAATTTATTTAATTCCAGGCCAGGTGCAGTGGCTCACACTTGTAATCCTAGCACTTCAGGAGGCCAAGGCAGGTGGATCACCTGAGGTCAGGAGTTCAAGACCAGCCTGGCCAACATAGTGAAACCTGTCTCTGCTAAAAATACAAAAATTAGCTGGACGTAGTGGCGTGCCTGTAGTCCCAGCTACTCGGGAGGCTGAGGTAGGAGGATTGCTTGAACTCAGGCAGTGGAGGTTGCAGTGAGCAGAGATTACACTACTGCACTCCAGCCTGGGTGACAGAGCAAGACTCCATCTTCAAAATAAATAAATAAATATTTAATTCTATTTTAGTATTTTTTCAGAATAATTTCCTTAAAGTAAGATTACTGGGAATCAAGGATCTTCATATATGGTGGAATTATTTTCTAGAATGTTTATACCAATTTACTATGCCAGTTGTTTAAGAGACTGTCTATTCATCGATTCACTATAAGGTTGATTTTCCAAAATGAAAATCTCTTGGCTGTACTTTTTGAATATAAAAATAACACATGCTAAATATACAAGTTCAGAAAACACAGGAAATTTAGGTCCAGCGAGGTGACTCATGCCTGTAATCCCAGCGCTTTGGCAGGCTAAAGTGGGTGGGTTACTTGAGTCCAGGAGTTGGAGATAGCTTGGGCAGCATGGCAAAACCCCATCTCCACCCAAAATACAAAATTAGCTCAGCGTGGTGGTGCACACCTGTGGTCCCAGCTACTCAGGAGACAGCAGTGAAAGGATCACTTGAGCCTGGGAGGCAGAGGCTTCAATGAGCTGAGATGGTGCTGTTGCACTCCAGCCTGGGTGACAGAGTGAGATCCTGTCTGAAAAACAAAACAGGAAATTTGTAGAAAGGAAAACAAAAAGGCCAGGTGAAGTGGCTCATGCCTATAATCCTAGCACTTAGGGAAGCTGAGGCAGGTGGATCATTTGAGGTCAGGAGTTCGACACAAGCT